GCCGCCGCGGCAGGGCGACGCCGCCGCAGGCGTTGAGGGCGCCGCCGAGGACGAGGGCGAGGGCGGGGCGGGCGCGGGCGCCGGGGCAGGGGCGGGGGCGGGGACGGCGGAGGGCCCCGAGTACCCTGATCTGCCGCGTCTGAAGGACCCGTCTCGCGACATCAACCAGCGGCTGAGCCATGACCTGATGGCGGCCTTCCTGGACGCCGTGGTGGTGGGGCGGCAGTACCACAGGCGAGGAGGGGGGCGTGGTGGTTGGGTCGTGTTGGGGGAGGGTTCGGACCACTGCGTCGTGATGGGTGCGTGCGCTCGTGGCATCAGGTGCAACTTATGAACCCCCACGCCCCAGTTCGTGGGCTGTCGTCCATTGTGCCAGTGGTGGCTTTGAGCGTGCTTAGAATTACAGCGGTCTGAGGGTGCCCTGGGATGCGCCACGGGGTTTCGGCTGCCTGAGGGGGAGGGTGTTGCCGCCCATCCCTGTGGCAGGGGGCCTTTATGATCGCAGCGCGTTGTGGCCGCCACCACACCCGCCATGCGCACCTCCTCCGGCATCACAGACGGTTCGGCGCCTTGCCATCACCCGCCTCGGCTCCGCTGTGCGAAGCCCGCGCGACACCGCGTTCCCCCCGTCGTACTTGCAAACGTTCGGCCGCCGACCTCACCCCAACCAACGAGCAGGGGCAGCGGCGACCGCCACTTTGTGCGGCTGGACACCTACCCCAAGTTCGAGGGCTACTCCCTAGAGGAGTTTGACCAGGTGACACCGGGGTTTCACCAGGGCGTGTCAACGGTTTGCTTGGATTACCGCAGCATATGGTTTTAATTACCTGCCTGGCTGGCCTGAATCCGACCCTGTCAGTGCTGGTTGATTCTGTTGAATAAAGGTTGGAATGTCGAAGCTGAAATCATTTGCTTGCTGACGGTAGAGGTGAACGCGTGCTGACACCCGTTGACCTACCGCCGCCGCCCCAGGTGCGCGAGGGGGAGCTGAGCCTGCTGTCGCGCCGCGTGGCGGAGCGCGAGGACGACATGATGTGGCGCGAGTTCAGGGACCGGCTCTACTACAACCTCGGACTGGTGAGCGCCCGCGGGGGCACGGGTGGATTTCACTGGGCTGTTTGAAAATGTCGATGGGCGGTTTTGGCGGCGGTTTCCGACACGGGGCGTTTGCCGTGCAAGCCTGGGGGCCGGGTACCAGCCCAGTCTCCCCGGGTCACAAGCAGTGGGGTTGACGCAGCGCAGCCAGCACGATGCAGCGCGCTCAGTTACCAAACCCTCACTCATGTTCGCGTCGCACGATTCGCAGGCCGGCCCTGGCCTGTCGGACACCCACGGGCACGCGAAGCCCCAGCGCCCCGAGGAGGGCTGGTCCTGGGTGGTCCACGACACCAGCCGCCACTGGAACAGCAAGCACGAGCGGAAACAGCAGAAGGAGCAGCAGCAGAAGCAGCAGCGGAAGCCCCGGCCTGGTAAGGGCGGGCCCATGCCGTACGTGGCGGAAGCGGACGGGCGGCTGAGGGCGATGGGGGAGGAGGAGGCGTACCTGCAGCAGCGGCGCACCCCGCGCGAGCGGCGGCGCTGGTTCGCGCAGAACCGGCGGTTGGGGACAGGCTGAGCGCCGGCGCCGCAGCGTCGTTGCGGCTTGGGTGCAGCAGCGGGGCAACCTGGCACCGCGCCAATTGCCTCTCTTTTTTTGTGGAATTTTGGCGGCTTGGGCCGTGGGCGTGATTTTACTCACGCCAGGCCTCCTTGCACCGGTTGGCGGTTCATGCTTGTGCACAGCGTGTGTAATGAATCGCCTATCGTTTTCTGCTGTCATTGTCTTTGTGGCTTTTGGTGACAGCGCAACAGTAAGCAACCAACTTTACTACCAAAACCCAGTGTTTCCAAGTGGCAGCAATTCAGAAAGATCAAGTGGCAACAATCCAGGATGGTGATGAGAACCGAGAGAAGTTACACGAGAGAAGTTGCACGCTCAAGTCGCAGGCTATAACAGCCTCCCCAAATCCTGCCGTGCCGCACAGCACATGGCGTGTGCCCTCGCCGCCCGCCACAAAACGTCGCGAGAACGGTGCAGTTGCAACAAGTTCAATAGTCTAAAGACTGAGGGGGTGCAACCGCGGAGCAACGCCCCACCCTCTTGGCGGCATGCGCCAGCGCAGGCGTCACGATGTAGAGCACAGGAATGATGCGGGCAGCATCGCCTTTTCATCAGACACCTCAACACCCCTTCAGCGCCGCGCACAACGCAACGCGACGCGATGCAATGCGTGACGTCAGGACCCCTCACTCACACCCCTTCCCCCGTCATCGCTTGCGAAAGCCCGCCCCAGAACCCCGCGGATGGATGCAACCGCCAGGCAGTCGTCTCAAGTCAGGAAATCAAGTCGCGTTGGTACAACTCAGGGCGGTCGCGGATGACGCAGAGTGCCCTCACCGGGCACGGCGGAGGCTTCGCTTCTCGGCAGAAACATCAGCACAGCCAGCAGCGCTGGCTGCACTTCGCCACGGTCGCTGCAGATGCGGAGACAACATCGCGCCGCTGCCACCTCTTCTTCTGCGTGTCATCAGGCACTTAGGGGTTGCCTGTGTACGTGACGGGGCCGCCGGCGCCGACGGGGGCGCCGGGGCCGGCGGCGGTGGTGGGCAGGCCCTGCTGACCAGCGTAGCCGGGACCAGTAGTCTTGGCCACACCTGGCAGGGGTGGAGCGTACAAGCGGATTGAAAAGATCAGCTTGGCAATAGCATCGATGGTCTGCCATTGCAACACCTGACCGTACCAAGCAATATATAACTTTATTAGGGTATTATCAACGCAGCAGACCATGCAATCACCTTACCCTGCCTGACATGACAGTGCCCCCCTGCAAAACAGAGAAACAAGGCAGACTTCAACCCTCCACACCCCCGCCTAGACACCAGTCGCGACAATTTTCAACATCCCCCCCACCTGCGCGGCCGCGGCGGTTCTCCCAGTCGGTGCCAATGGTCAGCAGCAGGAAGATGCAGCCAACAACCTGCAGTGATGGTGGTGTAACAGCCATAAGTAAGGATGGGTTAAGGCTGCCGTTGACGAACCAAGCTGAGGACAACCTGGCTGTGCAAAACAACGCATATTTGAAGTGCACGACGGAGCAGCGGCGTCCTGTGTTGCAACACAGGGAGTAGTCAGTGATTTCACAGCAACACAGGTGTCCATCGACGAGAAATGCTCAAAGGGCACCAAACATAAACACACGCACCGTCATGATGGCGCCGGCGGCAGCGGTGCGCTACGCGGTGTGCAGACGAGGACGGGGTGAGAGCGAGAGCGTAAATCAGTGAAATGAAGCGAGAGTTGAGACACATGAGTCGTGTCTTCAAATTTAAAGCAGGACCGAGGGATTATCACCATCCAAGCGAGCAGAGAACAAGCCCCTCCCAGCCAGGCCGCACCATGCTCATCAACGGCTGGCCGCTACTGAAGGGCGAAGAGTCCAGCCTGCGCAATTCACAAGAGAGGGGCACAGGGGTCAGCAGCAATTCAGCGCTGCACGCGTGTATACATGGGCAGCACAACGCTGACGCGCGGGGTTCATGTGTAGAGGTACTGCAGGGTGCCGCAGCCCTCTCGTCGAACCGCCCGATTCAACCGCGCCGATTGGGGGGTTTCCAGTCGGTAAACAGTCACCCAAGCAAGCCGACACCACTTACGCCGCGAGGGTGGCCTCTGATGCGATCATGAAGAGCAGCGTGTTGATGGTGAACATGCCAATCCCTGCTCAGACAAGGAAAGCGGGGCGAGCAAGGCCGGCGGTGGGATATACCAAGCAACGCCATGACCCGACCACTTTGCATGGCCCAGCCAATAAACACTGCATGGCCTGGGCGATCCCTTGAGGCAGCACATGCATCACAGTAAAAACTTTCAAAGCTTTCGGATCACTGGCGAAGACATCGGGTGCCCAGCCCGACTGGGCTGGCGTGTGTTGCACTCACAGAAGGGGCGGCTGCTGGACAGGCCGTACTTGGGGCCCGAGGCGACGAAGGCGCCCAGCAGGGTGACCAGCAGGAAGGCGATCATGAACCTGGGTTTATTGGCAGCGGGAGGGTTCAAGAGGTTTTGAGAGAGGGATCGTCGGTGGGGCAAGGGGATTCTGGGTGGTGAGTGTGCTGTGCTGCACGTTTCAAATCAAAAGTCAGAGCCAGAGTGGCGACATCAGCGGCGAGTGAACGAGGGCGGTAAGGCGTTGCCAGGCACAGGTGCACCAGATGCAGGCGGCGCACTGAAAGGTGACAGGTGGCAAGATCGCATGCCGTGTGCAGTGCAGCAGAGCCTTCCGAGTCAGGATGACAGACATGACGCATGGCGACTCACCAGTAGAAGCGGAACAGGCGCAGGCAGGGCAGGACGCTGCCGCTCCAGCCTGCACGAAGTGGATGGGGCGGCATACGCGGACAGGTCAGCTCAGTAATCATGACTGCCCTGCAACCATTTGCCATTCAACATCCTCAACCCCCACAAACCCGACTTGGAGAACCCCCCTCGATAGCGGACAATGCACCCAGGCTGCTCACCGAAGATACCCTGCGTGCCAAAGGTGTTGAGGTTGTCCGGGGCCGCCTGGTAGGGGACCTGTCAATGGGGAACCACGCAGGCAAAACACAAGATCTACGTTAGTTTGATGAGTGCTTCAGGCACGCCTCAGCGCCAGCACCGTGCGTCCAGACAAAACACAAAACACAGACAGAACACAGCACCCGGGGTCACGACCCGGGCGAAGCAGGGCCGTAATCGTGCGCGCCTGCGTCTGGCCCAGACCGGTGGTGCCATCAGCGCAGGTGCGCTGGAGGCTGGCGATGCCCGCCAGGAACACCACCCTGGATTTGTAAAGGGGAGGGGATAGTGGCGGCAGGAGGCGTGTTTGCCGGGGGCGGCGACCCAGGGCGGCGATGCGGAGCTTCTGAGGCATCACCGCGCCACGCGTTCACACGCCGACAGAGCGAGAGCGCCGTCAGGCGGCAGGCCAGCTGGCCGCAAGCGCGCCTGTGCCGCGCGCCACCCACCAGGTGCAGAAGGTGAAGACCAGGGCGGGCCAGGACATCACGCGGGTCAGGATGTTGGCACGCATCTGGGGTGGGGGGAGGGGGGCGAGTCGCATTGCTGACACGGCCAATGATGATGACAGTGCGATGCAACACTGCGCACACACTCAGGAGCAGGATAATGACATGCTAACATTCGATCTTTATTACCTTGATAGGCTGGTCGATGTCCGCGGGAACAGGCTGACGGGGCCGAGCGGACAGTGACAGCGAAGCAGGCTCGAGGGCGAAGCACACAGCAAGGACTGCACTCTGAATCGGCTCGCGTCGATGATATGTTGTGCGAAATATGGCAACTGAATGCCCTTTGAACTCGCAGTGCTCCAACGGAGCGGAATGTGTGACGTCACCTTGACCAAAACGAAGTCCAGGGCAGCGCTTTAGATCGAACACAGCAATCACCCGCATGTTTTACAGTCTATGGGCGTCCTCGCTCAAGTTGAGTCCCAGTGACACACTGCCCCGCGCCCGGTCGCGTGCACCGCTGGCGCACCCCCCCACTCACCGGATTGTATTTGGAGCTGTGACTGCCCATGCCTGATGGCGCAGCCACAGGCGGGCCAGGCCTCTGATATATCCAACCACCAGTGCATTGGCGCTTGCGGTACCCCTGCCAGCAACCCCTGGCGGTGTTGACGCCAATAGCCTTGTCCTGAGGCAGCAGCGGGTGCGACCAGGGGTTTCCTAATCCTGCCAGCTGCTCCCATCACCTGCATCGACACCAGCCGCCCGTCACCCCCGCGCGCTCCAGCTCACCCATCACGTCGCGCCTGCTGACCAGCCCAGCGCACACCTTGCTCACCCCGATGTCACTGTAACAGCACCCTGGTCAGCTGCTGCCCACTTGCCTGCCCCGCTGCTGCTGCGTGGTGGCAATATAATGCATGTCACCCGGTACTGGTCCTGCTGCCCCCACCACCGTGGCTTGGGGCTGCCACTGTCGGTCACGACGCTGAACAACCCTGCAGCCGAGGCGTGTCAATGCAACAGCACGACGCAACCTCGACTCGATTACATAAACCTTGACAAACAGCACACTCTGAATTTTACAGCCCGAATGCTACCTCACGCGTGTCCTCAGCAGGTCAGCTTCTAACACTCGCACCGCCGCCGCTCGCGCTGCCGCTGCCACTCTCTGTCACCTCGGCAGACCCCCCCTTGCTGCTACCGCCGCCGGCCCCCCACCACAGCCACCGTCGCCACGACCCGGCTGCCTGCTGCTGCTGCTGCTGCTGCTGCTGCTGCTGCTGCTGCTGCTGCTGCTGCTGCCCTCCCTGCGAGGCTGCAGCTTGCTGCTGCTGCCCCTCCCGCCGCTGCTTCTCGCACGGCACGCAATCGCCCGCCTTTCCCGCGGCGGCGGCCGGCTGCGGATCCATGATGTCCCGCGGCGCAGCTATGCCGCCCTCCCCGGGAAACATGGCGCGGCAGCTGACCAGGTCCCACGCCCCCTCCCCTAAGGCATTGTATAGGATGTTGCTGCGCATCCCCGGCCGCCGCCGCGCGCGCGCGACGACGTCGGTCGTGCGGGTGCTGCCGGCGACCTGGAACGTGCAGTGCGCGACCGAGTCGCCGTGGGAGAAGCCCAGGGTGCCGTCGTACCAGGGGGCGGCGCTGTAGGGCGCCCCCACAAGTGCGGCGACGTCCCCAGTGGTGGATACACGCTCGAGGGCCTTGCGCCGCACGTGGCAGAAGGTGTAGATGTCACTAGCCATGTCTGCGACGAAGTAGAGCGCGATGCTACCTACTAATCCCTTGGCCGCTGATTTGAGCAGCGGCAGCACACGTTGTGGCTGCGATGCTGAGGCCATCGTTCTGGCGAGCGGTGATCTGACGCCTTTGGACTTGGAACGAAGGATGGACCGGTTAGATTAGGACTTGGTGTCCTGTGAACCAGGGCGCAAGGGCTGGTTAGCTGGGGCTGGGCCCCCATTGACAGTTGACTGATGTGCTGACGCTGCCGCCGCAGGTCCTACCCCATTCAAATGCACACCCGCAGCTGTATGCCCTGACCTGGACATCATGAGGCTGATCTTGCCACCACATGCACTAGTCCGTTTTATTTATACAGCTCCGGCAAGACATGCGCCTCAGCCCACACGATCCAGATTCAAATGCGGAAACCGTTGCCTCACAAGGACACATACCGCCATGCGCACGACATACGCACGACATGCAAACAGCGCCAGCGCATGATTTCCGCGGTCGGAGCGCCCCACAAGGCGGCGCATCCCCAGCTTCCGCACAGCGCCGCGTGCACCCCAAACAGAAACCCCGACCCAGGCCCGTGCCGCTGCAACCCTCAGAACAGGCCGGCAAACCCCCGTCCGCAGCAGCGGGGCGCATCGCCCCGCACCGCGGCGGCGCGACCAGCCTGCCGCACTGTGGGCCGCACAGCGCAGGGCGCTGATCACGTCATGTTCTCATGGTCCTGAGCCGCGCCTTGTACTCTTCAAACGTGCCGTGGAAGGGGTTGACCTGCCCCCCTTCGCACATCCACAGCTCGTTGACCGTTGACTCGATGAGGTACTGGTCGTGCGACACCTGGCGGTGACGGGCCGGGGTGACAAGCCGGGGTGATGGGATGGGGTGACAGGCCGGGTGACGGGCCGGGTGGTGGTGGTTATGGTGGGGGCGCTGAGAACATGCAGACGGGCGATACTGGGGAAACGGGGGGAGGGGGGGTTGCAGCTGCGCTTGTTGATGTTGATGCGGCTTGATTGTCGCAGCTCGTGGGGGCGTGGGGGCGCGGCAGAGGGCTGTCGGCTGGTAGACGGGATTCTTTGTCACAAGGCCCCCTACCCCCCCCTCCCTGGACTCTGCAGCCCGTGGCGCCCCCCTCCATACGCAAGGCGCCCACCATGAGCACGCCGCCCTTGAACAGGGCCAGGCCCTCTATCAGGGCGTCCACCGCATCAATGTCCAGGTGGTTGCTGTAGAGGAGCGTCGGTTGGCGTCGGTCGGGGGCGGTTGGGGGCGGTTGGTGGCTGTTGCAGGGGCGCAGTCAGGCCGGGCGGCCGTCGGCCCCGCTGCCGGCGGCTGCCGGTGAAACAGGAGCGACAAAAACGTCCCGCGGAAGGCACATGCCTCGCTTGCAGTGCATGTGCGGGGGCCGCTGCATGGGCCAGCAGCGGGGCACCCTGCGTCAGTGGCGCCGCTCTCTGCCCGCGCTTGATGCGCCCGCTGCTTCCCTGGACCCTGGACCCTGATCCCCTGAACCCTGACCTGGGCTCGTCCAGCAGCAGCAGGTGCGGCTTGGTGAACGTGAGCTGTGATGAGAGGGGTGCGGGGGTGGGTGGGGCCGCTTGGGCGCTTAAAACAACAAGGAGCAGGGCGGATGTGGCCGCTCGAAGCTCAGCCCTGTTTGTGCCCCGGGCAACGGCCCGTTGGTGCAGTGCAAAACGAGTGCATACGTGTGTGTGTGTGTGTGTGTTTGTGTGTGTGTGTGTGTGTGTGTGTGTGTGTGTCTGTGCGCGCCTGTGACTAGGCGAGGGGCAAGGGTGCCTTGCCCTGACCGCGTGTGGGCGTCAACACGCCAACCTCCACGCGCCGGCTGGCCGTTTTGGTGCGGTACGACCCTCCCCCAGGCTTGAGGCCGGAGTGACGTGCGCATGGCGGCCGCAGCCCTCGCCCCCCCTTCCTCCGCTGCCGCCTTAATCTTCACGCCCTTCTGCCCCTGGGGGGTGGCAGTGCTCACCTTTGCGAAGGCGACCCTGCTCTTCTGCCCTCCGCTGAGGGTGTACAGCGGCTGCAGCGCCAGGGGGCCGCTCACGCCGACTGCGGTGCCGGAGCGCCGTGATTGAGGGAGAGGAGAGGAGTGAATGGTTACGGTATGCGAGGGGAATGCATCGCGGCATGCAAAGGGGGTTCAAAGGGAGGGGGGTTCAAAGGATGGGGAGGTCATCAAAGGGTGGGGCGGGGGGGATCGATTGAATACAAGGCTTCAAACATGCGAAGAGAAGACGTCAGCCTGCCAGGAGCGCAGCACAGAGGCAAACAGAGGCTGACTGGGGGTGCTGCGCCCCGTTACGGTTTGCAAGGGATGGGGGGGAGGGTGAGTGGCAGCTGCCCCTCCAAGGCCCCCTCCAATTGATGATGCGTCGCGTGGGAGCGCCCTGGCGCCCCTCCCCCCTCACATTTTCCGAGGTGGTTGCGCGCCTCCTGGTCCTTCAGGTGGGGGTAGGCCTGCGTTGGTTTTGAGGAGGGGGAAGGCAGAGCACACCCTCGCACACCCTCGACACACACTTGCGAGGGGCTGAGCATGCAGCGTGGGAGGGTTACAAAGATGTGGAGAGTTTCGACTCCAGATGTGAGGGGCTCCCCGGGCAAAAGAGCGCAAATGTGCTCGCGCACGCGCACTCTCACACACACACGCACGCGCGCGCACACACACACACACACACACACACACACACACACACACATGCGCGCGCACACACACACACACATACACCCACACAGAAATTGTGAACGCGTACGCGATACATAATCCGGTCTCCAGCAGTCAAACCGGTTTGCAGTAATTCTACATGTGACCCCAACCCCCAGCCCAGCACCTTGAGCATGATGGTGACGGGGTTGAGTGCCAGGTCCAGGCCGTCCACGTGGTGCTGGCTGAACACAGCCAGGCGCACCCCGGGGTTGCGCGCCACATAGCCCACGACAGGCTCCAGGGTGCCTTGGTTTGGGGTGGGGGGCAGTCGGGGGTCGTCGGGGTTTGGGGGCG